CTGTCAGCCATCATGGTACCCTAGTCAACACTGAGGAATGCATAGTAAAAAACAGAAGAGAATCTGCATCTCTGAATATTTCCTTTTGCTGATGAATCAAAAATCTCTGGAAACTCCTCTCCTCCCAAGAGCCTGTTATTTGACTCAGTATACTTCCTCATTGCCTCAGCTAGTTTGGTATTCTGATTTTTGCTGAGTATATCCTAACTACATCAAATAACTAAGGGTCATGGCCCATATTGGGAGCTAGAGAGGCAAAGATAAAATTGATTCCACCACAGCCATCACCCAGCTCGTGTCTGCTGGGGGATGAACACACACACACACACACACACACACACACACAGTCACTGCCTATCACTGCCCAGGTGTTACATCCTGCCCTACATGTTTTACAAATGCTTTGTGAAACCAGATACACCTAATGCATCCAATGTCAGGAGCAAGGAGTAGAGAAATTGCAAGAATATCCAAACAGCTAATAAACAATCAGAAAAAAAAAAAAAAAAAAAAGGAAATGCAAACCATGATACCTACCAGAGTAGCAAACATTGTTTTAAACTGATGCCAAATGTTGTCAAGGATATAGAGAAAGCAGAACATTCATACAACTGTTGGTGGGAGTGCCAGTTGGTACACTTGTTTGCGAATGTATTTAGAAGAATTAAAGTTGAACACAAGCATATCCCTGACCAAACCCAAACAACTCCACTTCCAGTATATGGAGAAAGACATGTACAAGTATGATCATAATAGTCTGATGAGGAGCTCTGACTTCCCAACATAGTATTCCCAAGAACACATAGTGAAGGATTTTCAATGAGGGGCCATGTTGGAATGCTCGTTTTATGTGGATCGTGACCGGTACTACATGGCTGAAAAGTCTCCTTAAAGGAACTATGCTGGGCACTCTGAATTTGTTGTGTCCAAAGCAGAATTTCAAAGACAAGAAAAATCAACCAGATAGAACTAGAAATGTGATTAAAGATCTCCAATTCAAAACACCCCAATACAGTTTTAAAGAACAGGTAATTACAACACAAGTATATATATATACATATACATATATATATCTTAAAAATAACACTATTATGTAATCTCACTCATAAGATGTCAATATTCTAAGTGGGAGCAAATGAAATCCAGCAGTGCATCAAAATACATACAAAATATATATCAAAGTAAAATAAATATATCAAATAAAATACATCAAAATATATACGCAATTAACCTGGGTTTATCCGGGAATGGGAAAAAGATTCAAGAGAATCTGTCAATATAACCTATCACGTTAACAAGTTAAATACTATACACTGCAGGAAGGGAGGATGACTCGGGAGCCATTTCGACTTAGCTACAACAAAGAGTTTTACTCACGAGTAAGAGAAAACATTAGAAGGCAATTGTTTGAGAGCATGATGCCAACTGCCCGTTCCCTCATAGCTCCCAGGCAGGTTTGGTGACCGAAACGCCCAACTTTAGGGCCTCTAGTTATGGCAGCATTTGCCAATGCAGTTTCATACCCCTAAGATGGAAATACGTAATGGGAATCTGTATTTCCATGGCACAGTTTGAGATACACCAACTTAAAGGAAGTTGAACAACTTTCTTCACTAGAATACTCGTTAGTTTTCCAATAAATTGATACGGTGCGTTTGATTTTTCCTTGAGAGATTTAGTAAGTGCTACTCCATAAGCTTCTTTAACCAGGGATTCCCACGACTTCTCAAGCACTATTCAGTACTGGTAATTTTTGACACATAACTTCAGAAGTTCTGGGACAATTTTAGTGGTATAAATAGTTTCTGTATATTGGCTTAGGGTTTGTTATTTTGATGGCTTCTTAGTTCAGTGTGACAGGGACCATGTAGATACTGGGGAAAACAAGGCATAGGTCTGGCCCTCCATTTGGCCAGATGCATCTTGGTTTTCTCCAAGACACTTTAAAAGGCATTTTCCAAGGAACAGAGCTTCAGGCACATTCTACAAGTTCTGATACACAATTTCATCATCACTTTTCGAACAATCTATAATTGTTTCAATTTTCTCTTTAATTCAGAACTTATATATACATATGATAGGACTACATTTTCAAAAGTAGTTGGCCAAGTAGTTGTATAATGGACCTTTATGATGGGGAGCTCTAGCAGTCACCATCGGAATCAAATGAGCAAACTTAGTTTTGGCAAGTGTCTCTGGTGTGTTGCAGTATGAAGTACCTATCACCACCTAGGATGTATTTGGCCAAAAATGTTTAAGCTTCTGGCTCTAACTTGACTTTATCAGAGATACAAAGGACAGAGGGAAGAAACAAATCTAGAATGCATGGGATTCTACAAACCAGCTTTCCTTAATTCTCAAAAAGTCTGTTCAAGGGGGTGCCTGGATGGTCCAGTCGGTTAGGCATCCAACTTCAGCTCAGGCCATGATCTCACGATTTGTGAGTTTGAGCCCTGTGTCAGGTTCTGTGCTAACAGCGTGGAGCCTGGAGCCTGCTTTGGATTCTGTGTCTCCCTCTCTCTCAAAAATAGATGTTAAAAAAAATTTTTTTAAGTCTGTTCAAGATTAAAATCTAGAGACATGAAAACCAAATGCAATGCATGAATATAGACGAGATGCTCATTAGAAAATACAAAGCAGAGGCACCTGGGTGACTCAGTCGGTTGAGCGTCCGACTTCAGCTCAGGTCATGATCTCACAGTTCGTGAGTTCGAGTCCCGTGTCAGGCTCTGTGCTGACAGCTCAGGGCCTGGAGCCTGCTTCAGATTCTGTGTCTCCCTCTCTCTGTCCCTTCCCCACTCATGCTCTGTCTCCCTCTGTCTCTCAAAAATGAATAAATGTTAAAAAATAAAAAATAAGATAAAAAGAAAATACAAAGCAATAGGGTAGCTTGGGAGTACTGGGACATATAAAGTTAATATAAAAGAATATTACAGAATTATTGATAATTTTCCTGTATGACCATGGTCTTAAAGGCTGTGCTTATTCTTTAAAAATCTTTTTTGAGAAGAAGCACGAGCAGTGGAGGGGCAGAGGAAGAGGGAGAAAATCTCAAACAAGCTCCACACTCAACATGGAGCATGACACGGGGCTCAATCTCACAACCATGAGATCATGACCTGAGCCAAAATCAAGAGTTGGACACTTAACTGACCAGCCACCCAGGCACCCCAAGACTGTTCTTATTCTTAAAAGATGCACGCTAATATGTTCGGGAAGGAAGTGTCATAATTTCTACATCGTAAGTCAAATGACATGAGTATACATACACGTATGTACGTATAAATTCATAGAGGAAATATGACCAAATGTTAACAATTATTGATTCTAAATAGAATATATGGATACTATACTATTCTTTAAGTTTTTCAGAGTGTCTGAAATTTGTCCTAATATCTGGGGAAAGAATTCCCAAATGCACAACTTTTTGTTTCTTTTTAATTTGTAATTTATCTTGAAATATGAACAGAGAATTTTAACTACTGGCTACCTCTCTGTTGGGATTCATTACAGGCAAATTGCTTTACACCCCCTGCGCTTCAAGAGGTACATTCCCAACATCTTAACGCTTTCTAAATCCACATTTCTTTTCAGCCTTCATTTTTTATGCAGCTTAAGGGATAAACTGAATAAAAACCCTTTCGAGTTGTTTTTCTAAATTGTATCCATAATGGACTATCTGAAATTTAGATGAATGAGTGGTTATGAAAGCTTTTCTAAAGTCATTACACCAATGAGCATTCTCTTCCTAAGAATTCACTGTAGTAATACTAATGATGAGGATAATAAGAACAATAGCAAGTTTGTATTGAGCATACGCTACATACCCAGATATTCTTCCAAAGATCAGATGCATACTAAATCTGCCCAATCTCTGCAACAGGACAGAAAGTTACTATCACTAGCATTTTAAAGATGATGCCCAGAGGAGAGGAGCATTTGGCCCGACATCCCAAAGGTAGTAAGGAAGTGGAATTGTGATGACACGGAGTATGGTTTGTGCCATGAGGGAGGGATTTCCTACATTTGCTACATTAATAGGGTTATTCCCTAGGAGGAATTCACTTAAGTTTTATAAAGATTGGATAGGGGCACCTGGGTGGCTCAGTCGTTTGAGCACAGACTTCGGCTCAGGTCATGATCTTGTAGTTCCTGAGTGCGAGCCCCGCATCGGGCTCTGTGCTGACAGCTCAGAGCCTGGAGCCTGCTTCGGATTCTGTGTCTCCCTCTCTCTCCCTCCCCCACTTGTGCTCTGCTCTCTCTCAAAAATAAAATAAACTTAAAAAAAAAAAAAAGACCAGGTAGTGTTAGAACGTTTCTATACCTTCATTAAACGAACATGTTTATTGTAAATTCTCTATGCTTTTATAAGCATAAGGAAGTTGTGTCTCACATTAGCCAAATCATCCTATAGTGTGAATATTCTGCCATTCTAATCAGAGAGGTGACAGTGAGGGGTTTCTTATTCTAATTAAATCGTCTTGTGACTTGTGTCATGTTCTTGAAACTGTGAATGTTGTCTCTCACATCATTTCTGGAAAAGGGCAAACTTCTTAATTTCTAATCATTCATAAAGTGGTTGATACTTTTATAAAATATAATTTTATGACAGTAACAAATTGCTATAAATGTTTCCAAACATTTACTCTCGCTTTCTGCATTCATCTCATGATGGACAGGTAACAATTTTGTGGACTGGCAGTAGGCTCTAGACAAGTTTTAGTAGTACTTCTCTAAGGGCCTTCCTACATCCTAATTTAAAGGGTTTCTCACTTGGATGAAGTCTATGACGTACCCTGAGATACTTATCACATCTCTAAGTCTCCCCACATTCCTTACATTCATAATATTTCACAGCAGTATGAGTTCTCTAATGTGCAGAGCAAAAACTGAATTACGATTAGGTTCTTCCTACATTCCTTAAAGTGTTTCTAATGAGTATGAATTCTCCAATGTTTACCAGACTTTGTGCCAAGAATAAAGATCTTCACACGTTCCTTACATTTGAATGGTTTCACATCAGTATAAATTGATGTTCAATAAGATTGTACAAAATCCTAAAGGCCTTTTCATATTCCTTATATTCAAAGCATTTCTCACTAGTATGAATTTTCTGATATATCAAGTAAACTGTCCACACACAGGTAAGGGTTTTACACATTCGCTACATTTATAAGTTTTCTCAAGAGTAAGATTCTCCTTGTATTGTTGGTACACATAAAAAATGTGTTCACATCTCTTCAATCATAAAGTTTCATCAGTATCAATTGTCTCATTTAAGTTGTCCATATAAAGGCTTCCCCACATTCTTTATATTCATAAGGTTTATCATTACTATGAGTTCTCTCATGTTGAACAAGGTTTGAGCCATTAACAAAGGTCTTCCCAAATTCCTTATATTGATAAGGGTTCTCACCAGCATGAAATCTCTGATGAACAGTAAGTTGATAGCCACTACCAAAGGCCTTCCCACATTGCTTACATTCATAGGACTTCTCACCAGTATGGATTCTCTCATGTTTAACAAGGCTTGAAGCCCAACTAAAGGCCTTCCCACATTCCTTACACTTAAAAGGTTTCTCACCAGTATGGATTTTCTGATGTTGCGTAAGGTGATAGCCACGACTGAAAGCCTTCCCACATTCTTTACATTCATAAGGTTTCTCGCCAGTATGGATTCTCTCATGTTGAACAAGACTTGAGCCACAATTAAAGGTCTTCCCACATTCCTTACATTCGTAGGGCTTCTCACCAGTATGAAATATCTGATGTCGAGTAAGTTGATAGCTACTACCAAAGGCCTTCCCACATTCTTTACATTCATAGGACTTCTCACCAGTATGGATTCTCTCATGTTTAACAAGGCTTGAACTCCAACTAAAAGCCTTCCCACATTCCTTACATTCAAAAGGTTTTTCACCAGTATGGATTTTCTGATGTTGAGTGAGGTGATAGCCACGACTGAAGGCCTTCCCACATTCTCTACATCCATAAGGTTTCTCGCCAGTATGGATTCTCTCATGTTGAATAAGACTTGAGCCACAATTAAAGGTCTTCCCACATTCCTTACATTCATAGGGTTTCTTGCCAGTATGAAATACCTGATGTCGAGTAAGTTGATAGCCCCAACAAAAAGCCTTTCCACATACTTTACATTCATAAGGCTTCTTGCCAGTATGAATTTTCTGATGCTGAGTAAGTTGATAACCACGACTGAAGGCCTTCCCACACTCTTTACATTTATAAGGTTTCTCACCTGTATGAATTATCTCATGTTTAGCGAGGCTTGAGCCCCAAAAAAAGGCCTTCCCACATTCCTTACATTTGTAAGATTTCACACCAATATGAATTTTCTGATGTTGAGTGAGGTGGTAGCCACGACTGAAAGCCTTCCCGCATTCTTTACATTCATAGGGTTTCTCGCCAGTATGGATTCTTTCATGTTTAACAAGACTAGATCCCCAACTAAAGGTCTTCCCACATTCCTTACATTCGTAGGGTTTCTCACCAGTATGAAATCTCTGATGCACAGTAAGTTGATAGGCACTAAAAAAGCCCTTCCCACATTCACTACATTCAAAGTGTTTTTCAGTCATATGAGTTCTCTCATGTTGAACAAGTTTTGACCCATGACTACAAGCCTTCCCACATTCCTTACAAATATAGCGTTTCTCTCTATTATGAATTCTTTGATGTGCACTAAAAGATTTGCTTTTTCTGTAAGTGGGCATTTTTTCATAGCTAATTATCATTTGACTAAAGTATGCCTCTTGATGTCCCTGTAGTCCCTCCAATTTGCTTTTGCACTTAGAATTATTTTTGAAAATGAATGCCTCAAGGCCAAGAGTTTTACTTCTTTCCGTCCTCTCCCATTGGGAAAAATGTATTTCAAAAATGTCTTTTTCTGAAATTTTATTTTTGGTTGCATATGTTGACTCCAAATCTGAAAGAAAACAAGAAAACCACATATTTTATTTCATTTACCAGAAAAAAAAATTAAAAAACCCTCAATAGAAATACAAGGCAAATTAGAAATAATACCCATTAAAAAAAAACAAAAGAAAGAAAGAATACCCATAAAAGAACTGGATTATAAGACTTCCTGAGCTCACTCCTAAGCATCAAGTGTCTACCCTGTTGGAACAACAATCTCAGTTTTGACTTTTCAGCTCTTATGTTCTTAATGTTCTGATCTGACAGTTTTCTGGAGGATTCCTCAAAGATCATTTTAACAAGTTCCTTATCTTCCTGTGTGGATGACCCCTTACACAAAATGCCTTTCCATCAAGCAAGCCCTTATGTGCACAGGGGTGGTTCGGCTGAACTTTTTCACAACTATGCAGGTTGGCATCATGAACTGGAATCTAGAAAATCAAGCACACCTGAAACTAATATTGTATGTCAACTACACTTAAAAAAATAAAACACTAAGCTACATAATACTCCACAGGAATTTTTCTGAGGGATTGGTGTTGGGATAAAAGCAGACAAAACTACTAAGTTCCAAGGCTCTACTAGAGGTGAAACATGTGAAACAAAACCAACTAAAACTGTAATAGAACCTCCACTTAGCTCAAATCCTGATACAATCAAAGAGATAAGCACATCAGTGGTCATGCAGGAAGTTTAGAGCAAAGAACAATTTTTCAATCTAATTTGAAACCAGAAATAAACTGAAACTAATGAAAGCTATGACCCAGTCCCAGCTCAGCTCTAAGCCTGGGGGGATCTGAGTTATCAGCCCCTCCCCCTAAATAGCTGATCTGAGAAACAGGCAGGGATCTATTCTTTACTGTTCTTCAAAATGTCTGGCACACAATGAAAATTTATGCGGTAGGTGAGGATCAGGGAAAGTGTGACCTAAAATCACACCCCCAGCCCCCCCCAAAAACACAAAAGAGACAAAGAACAGCTCACGTAGATATTAGAATCAGCAGGCAAGGCCATTGAATTATATTTTACAGATTCTGGAAGAAAAGATAGAGAACAGATGGCAAATTTCAGCAAAGAAACACAAACTCTAAAATTATAAAATGGAAATTCTACAACTAAAAAACCCAAACTGAAGCGCAAAGAGAAAAAGGATGGGGAAAAAAAAATAGAGTCAGACCTGTGCAACAATATTAAACAATCCAACTTCAGACAACAGCAGTTCCAGAAAGAGCCAAATAAGTACTTGAAAAGATTATTATTGCCATATTCTTAAAATGTATGAAATGTATAAATAAGCAATCTACTTTTTAGCAAACTGCAAGCAGAATAAATACAAAGAAAAGCAACAACTGGGAACATCATAATCAAACAGTTGAAAACTGAAAATAAAGGAAAAATAATAAAAGGAGGCAAAGGGGGGACATTATAGTTAGAGAACAACTATAAGAATTGAGGCTGACTTCACATCTGTAACAATGGAAGCTACAAGACAATGGAATGATATCTTTAATGGCTGAAAGAAAGCAAGCTTTCAACCTAAAGTTCTATATAAAGCACAAAGTATTCTTCAAAATGAAGATGAGAGATTTCCAGCCCCAGCCATGAAGAAAAATCTGGTATTAGACTTACTCTCACACTATAAACAGCTCTAAAGCTATAAAGCAGTATACTAGAGGGGGCGCCTGGGTGGCTCCGTCGGTTAAGCAACTGACTTCGGCTCGGGTCACGATCTCACGGTTCGTGGGTTCATTCCCTCTTTTTTTTTTTTTTCCAACGTTTATTTATTTTTGGGACAGAGAGAGACAGAGCATGAATTGGGGAGGGGCAGAGAGAGAGGGAGACACAGAATCGGAAACAGGCTCCAGGCTCTGAGCCATCAGCCCAGAGCCCGACGCGGGGCTCGAACTCACGGACCACGAGATCGTGACCTGGCTGAAGTCGACGCTCAACCGACTGTGCCACCCAGGCGCCCCACACGGTTCGTGGGTTCAAGCCCCACGTCGGGCTCTGTGCTGACAGCTCGGGGCCTGGAACCTGCTTCAGATTCCATGTCTCCCTCTCTCTCTGCCCCTCCCCCTCCTCGTGCTCTGTCTCTCAAAAATAAATAAACCTTAAAAAAAATTAAAAAACAAACAAACAGTGTACCAGACACAGGGCTGAAAAACTTTTAGAGGCAATTCTTAGGAGAACTTTATATTCACCCTTTCTGCCTGGCTGCGTCCTCCAAAATAAGGTACAGGAAAATGAAGTCCAAATATACAGCAGTGGTTTCACTGGGCAAAGGATACTGGTATCTGAGTTCAGGACTGCTAAGGCAGCTGGAATTTGTAGCTCATGGTTTAGCAAGTAAAGGAGCCATGAATCTGTAACTAAATATTAATTTATGCATCCATACAGTGACTCTCCACAAGGTACTTGGAGTACCAACCCAGACTGAGTGGAAAGAGGCATTCATCTGAGGCCTCACAAAGCCCATACAGTGAAAGACTCATCATCTGCTGCAGTAGTCCTCAAACTCGGTCTCAGAACCCCTTATACTCTTAATTATTGGTGAATTCTTTGCTTGCTCATGCATAAGTGTATTTGCAATACAAAATATACAAGGTTAGTATTTTTGTGTAATGGTGATTTTATGACATCTTAGGTGACTTATTAAAGGGTAGAGGAGTACTGTGGGATAGGTCTGTGGGAAGTAATTTTAATGATGTTTAACTGGGCATAGATAAACTGTAGTAACTATTGCTGCTTTACTTAATGATGTTTTATTTCTTTGTATACATGAACATTTGGGTATAAGAACTGTGTGTACATCCAAAAGGAAGTCACAGAATTTAAACTGACCAATCTAATCTTACAGCTACCTTGAGATGGCCAAATATAAACTAAATGCAATGCACTTTTGTATAGCTTAGCATCAATAGATAGTTCAGTAAACTTGAATTTAGTTCAACCAATCTGAACTGCCATGCAAGAGTTTATATTACAATTACTTGGTAAGGAAGGCTTAACAACATTAGTAAATGAAAAGAGATTTAACTACTTTTTAAATGTTAAAAACAAAAACAAAAACCGGGGCACCTGGATGCCTCAGTCGGTTAAGCATCCGACTTCCACTCAGGTCATGATCTCACAGTTCGTGAGTTTGAGTTCTGCATCAGGTGAGAATGAGCCCCACTTCCGGCACCGTACTGACAGTGCAGAGCCTGCATGGGATTTTCTCTTTCTCTTTCTCTCTCTCTCTCTCTCTCTCTCTCTCTCCCCCCCTCTGCCTCACCCATTTGCTCCCCCCACCTCAAAAAAATAAAATAAAAACACTTAAAAATAAATAAATGTTAAAAAAAAATCACTGAGGGCTCAAAAGAGCTTTTGTTTGTGCAAGTTAGATTTTCCAATATTTACCATACTAGAAATTAAAACGGAAAAATTAAAGATATTTATTAATTCACTTGAAAATAATGAATCATTCTCTGTCAGTACAATAAATTTATAAAAGTTACATTTTCTAAAACAAAAAAAATAAGCATTATCTTAATTTTTTGTGACTCTCTTTAATATATGGCTTAACAGAAGTCAACTGGATTCTCGTATCTGCTTCTGCATTCACTCTATGGCAATATGCTATTGTGACTGAAGTATACGAAGGAAATCTCGCCTCCCACATATATGCAACTGTTATTCTTTGATACTGTGGGTATGTTACTATTTGATGCTACAGTAAAACTTGAGAAGGGATAGTTTCATAAAGGTTAGTTGCAAGGTGAAATATGCAAATATACCCATGAACTTTTCATATTAAGTTACCTTAAAATCCACTGCACTTTGAATGATCTTTTATCCAGGCATAATTTTGTAATATTGTGCACTGGTCATGTGAAAAATGGTGGCTCGTGGAGTTATGCAGATCTTCGAAATGTTCACACATCTCATTACATAATATTTAAAAAATCATGTGTTAATATTACTTTCTTTTTTTTTTTAATTTTTTTTTTTTAACGTTTATTTATTTTTTTGGGACAGAGAGAGACAGAGCATGAACGGGGGAGGGGCAGAGAGAGAGGGAGACACAGAATCAGAAACAGGGTCCAGGCTCTGAGCCATCAGCCCAGAGCCCGACGCGGGGCTCAAAATCACGGACCGCGAGATCGTGACCTGGCTGAAGTCGGACGCTTAACCGACTGCGCCACCCAGGCGCCCCTGTTAATATTACTTTCTATCTCATCAGAAAAATGTTCATGTATTGGGAAGTTGTAAAAGCTCAAAATGGTAGATGTAAGTTTGACACAAATCTAAGTTTTACTTCAAAGTCTGAATTCTATCACTGGCAAAAAATACTGTTACTTGTCTTTCAAGTGGCGGGCTCAACTTGTGAGAAAATTTTTCTAACTACCTAAGTCTCAATAATAGTGTAATAGTTCATCTGTTAGGCATTCTTTCAAAAACAAAGTGGTGTCCCACGAAAAGAACAGCCAGTTTAACTCACAATTCAAACACCTGCACCAGTGGTTTTCCTCAAGGCACGCACCACACTTGGGTATACAGCAGAAGCGTTTAATGAATATTTCCCATTTCACCACAAAGGATATTTTTTAAATGCATATTCAAGGGTCAAGAATACAGGCTCATGAGCCAGACTTCCTTACAGGCTCAATTGCTTCAACCTTCTCCCACCAGCTGTGTGACCCCGGGGAAGTCACTTACACTATATGTCTCTGTATTCTCATCCATTAAAAGGGCATAAAAACAGTACTTGCCTCATAGGGATGTTGTGGAAGTTAATTAAGCTAATGTACTTGCTCTGCTTAGAACACAGCCTGGTTTGGGGCGCCTGGGTGGCTCAGTCAGTCGAGCAGCTGACTCTTGATTTTGGCTCAGGTCATGATCTCAACAGTCTGTGGGATCGAGCCCCACGTCAGGCTCTGCACTGACAGCATGGAGCCTCCTTGGGATTCTCTCCCTCTCTCTCTGTCCCTCCCGAGCTCTCACATGCACATGTGCTCTCTCTCTCTCAAAATAAATAAACTTAAAAAAGAGAAAACAACACAGCCTGGCATATGGTTGGCACAGTGTTAAGTGTTAATATTGTCAGAGTTACTATTGCTATTTTGCTAACAGGAAAAGAAGTTTCAGGAGACATTTTTAGGATTGAATTCTGTGTAGAGTTTAACTTTGTAAAATACAAGGTTCACAGATCGCAACGTTCAGCCTCCAACATGTTGAAAGGAATGTGTTCGCTTGGTGTGAAATGAATTGTTTATTCAATCCTCCACTGCATAAAGTGAAGGGGCTCTTTTGAAAGTCGGAGTACATCAGGACCCTGTTTCTAGCTGCACTCTCTGCATGTGGGTCAAAAACTAACAAAGAGCAGTGCTTCTTTGATGTGTATAAAAATCACCCAGGGATCTTGTGTAAACGTAGACTCTGTTCGGCATGTCTGGGATAGGACCTGGCAACTGTATTTCTTTTTTTAATGCTTCATGCATTAATTCATTCACTTATATATGTAAGTGATGAATCACTAAATTCTATTCCTGAAACCACTATGACACTATAAGTTGACTAACTAGAATTTAAATATTAATTTGGGGAAAAAAAAAAAAAAGACAAGCTGGTAGAAGCAGCTGATGTTAGGTATGTGTGTAATATTTAACAATAAAAAACCTAACACCGGGGCACCTGGGTAGCTCAGTTGGTTGAGCGTCCAACTCTTGATTTCCATTCAGTGAGATCAAGCCTCACGTCTCAAACCCCTACTTGAGATTCTCCCTCTCCCCTCCCTCTCTTTGCCCTTCCCCCGCTTGCTCACATACTCTCTTTCAAAAATAAATAAATGAACTTAAAAAAAAAAAAAAAAGCTAAAACCCCAGTAAACCAAATAAAGGCTTCTAATCACCCAGAAAACAATCCACATTCCTCCCCCAAACCAACAAAACTGCCTACCGTCTGGGCCCTGCCTATCTCCTTCACTAACTTCTTGGTATCCTCTCCTTCACTAACTCTGTTCTGGTCTTCCTATGGTTCCTCAAACATTAACAATCACATTCTGAGGAGCAAGCACACAGATAATCGTTAGACATGTTGAAGTTAATTAAACACAGTATGAAACCTGGTTTCTTTGACAATGGTTACGAACTGAATGGCCCATAATGCAAATCCAGCTCCTTGTAAAGAAGAGAGGCCACTACAGGAAAAGCCAGAGGAAGGTGTGAAGGTATGGGACGATCAAGGAGCTTGCTGAACCCATTTCTAATCCAACAAATATTAAGTCGTCCCTTTGAGAACAGGGAGAAGAAATTGACCTGGTTTCTTCAAAGACAGCCCTATAATTCCCACAGGGAAAGCCAATGGTGCAGAGAAGATTCTAAAGTATTTCAGGCAGATGACCTTACCCAATGAGACCAAGTTACTATAGTTCTCCAACATCACATCCACGTACAAGTCCCTCTGAGCAGGGTCCAGGCACTCCCACTCCTCCTGAGAGAAGTCGATGGCCACATCCCTGAAAGTCACCAAGCCCTAAAACCAAAAACCCATACATTACTTGGGAAATTAAAGAAATTTAAGAATTTAAGAAAATATTTCTAAGAGGGGGAAAAAGGATTATGAAGGATAAACCGCAAGAAGAGGAAAATGTAGCAATCAAGTAGGCTGGAGGCCTGTGATACATATAGGTAGAGAAAAGTAAAGAAATTAGTACAACTAAAGCAGAGTGTTACCCATTCTAGAAGAATCCTGTTACAGCAGAAAAAATTTCTTGGATATTGTGAGATAGGTAACTAAGCTATCTAGACTTGTCTGGTAATATATAAAATAATCCCAGTTTCTCTTCTATTAAATAAAAGTGGTGTTGGGGGGGGAGGTTGTTTATGAGTATGTAAACATACATACAACCTGCTATGTGCCTGCCTCGTAAATTCTTTATAAACATAAACTGCTACACCATCTTTTCCCTTTCAGGCTTTAAGGAACAGAAAACACAAATAAGAAAATTTTTTTCCCAAATGCACTATAAAATCTCTATTTCAGAAAAATGACTTCCATTAAATTACAGATTATCATTAAGCCTCAAGTAAACCATTCCATTAGATTACAATGTAAGCATTTTTTTCTCACACATCTTACAAATACATGTTTTTATTAGCTGCATTCAGTTCATCATATAGGTATATAAATTAATATCTCCATTATATTTATACACTTAGGTTGAACAAAACTTCCAAAGACTTTCTTAATTCTAGAAATCTACTATCATCCAGTATTTAGAAATCTCAGTCACCTTCTTACTTGTTACCATCAACCACACCTCACCTGACACCCTCCTCATTCCCAAGCAGGAGACTGCCAATAGAGCACATCATATATGACACAGGTGTCACCAAGATCTGTGCATCCTGGTCAATAACCAAATGGACTCTGACACTGGTGTTCATTGATTGGGGAACCACACTTTCCCTGGAAAGACCCACTCACAAGCCCCTGTGTCCAAAAAGCCTTGCAAAGCCTCACAGAGACTGAGGCTGAGCCCAAGAAATCCCAAATTCCATCTTCTCTCTCTGGGAGACTCAGGTCCATGAAGAAGTTCCAAGTTTGCCTGTATGACCAAATGGGACCCTCATCACTGACTCATCACACCACAGACCTGAGATGGGAATAAGGAATTCTGATAAGGGAAATGGCGCAGCCCTAGTGGACCAAAGACAGAAGTGATTACGAAGGGCACCACCCAAGACAGCCTACCATGGATATGTCCTAGGTAAACACCAAAGCTCTTCCAGAGAAGGCACAAGCAACTGAAATTGTTCTCTTGGGTGACCATCCAGCTGTCTAAGGGCATTGTATCCTGACTGGCTTCTTTCCTAGATGCCAGCCAATCAGCACCTTAACCTGAAAAAGGAATAACTGTTGTTTTCAAAATGTCTACAGTCTTCATTCTCCCGTTTTTCCTTCCCTTGTAAATAAATCGTTGGTGTTTTAATAGATGAAATCAGTCTACTGCTGGTTTTCCTTGTATATAAGTAAAAGTGTGCTGTTAACTACATTTCTTCAATTTATTCTTTGACAGAAGCTCAAGTATTTCCCTCAAAAGATTCCATCCCTTCGCTGCTCTTGATAGAAGACCGAGCACACAGATGTTGAATGTGTTCAATGACCATGACGACACTGAATGGAAAGGCACATACGAAGGACATTGGGCTACTTGGCACTATCCTTTACTGGAATAGGGGGAACTGAGAGGCAGGTTCAGGAGTGGGGTTCTGTTATGCAGAAAGCATTCGGATAATTAAGGAAAAGATTCATATGACCTAAAAATCACAGTATTTCAAGGAGAGAGAAATAACCAACTTACATCAGTCATGGTTCTAGAATTGCAAGAACTAATTAATAATCCATGGGGTTCCTCTATTGGTGAAGCACAGAATCCAGAAAAGTCAGAGCTGGGGAGGGGAAAAAAAAGCTTTAGACCAGATGTGAAGTGATCCCATCCTGACTTAAGCTAATATAAACTTCTACCTCTGCCATTCCTCCTCCTACCCCCCACACTCCCACACCATCTTTGAAACCTAAACTCTCCCCTCAAACCCAAAGGTCCTTCAGTAGGAAGGTTTCTGGCAGTGCCTGATACTGGGGATGCTGATATGAGACTGAGGCTGGACCACTGGTCCTTCCCAGACCAGATCTCCCTCCCACCATTCTGCCTCTCCGAGCTGAGAAAGAGCAACACAGTCCAAGTGAGAACATCTTTCATGGGCTTGGGGCTCAAGAAGGTTGGTCAAGACACAGGGGTGGACAGGATGCACAACTGCCTGAGCCCAAAGCTGACCTCTTAACGCGTTCATAACATACACGCAACAGAATACGAGAAACTAAGCTAAGTCAGGGGAAATAATCAAAATATACTGTCAATAGAAAATACAGCTTGCAGGATGTATAGTATGATTATATTTATAAATTGTATGTGTATAACAATATAGAAAAGACTGACAATCACATGTCCACAGATGAAAAAAGTGTTTAGGAAAAAAAAGTGTTTAGAAAGTTATACATCTATATACAATAAGGGTTTTCTTTTTATTGTGGTCATAATGTTCTTTTTGTTTAAGTATTCTGCATAACTGTTGTAACCATGGCCATGCATTATACCAACTATATAATTTCTACATACACTCCCGTTTTGCCTAGAAAAAAAGTGGCTGAAATTCCCCCAAGAAATGTCATGGATATATTGATGAGATCTCAATCCTGCTTCTCTTCATGTCTTCTGACACATGGGTTTATTTTATATCTGAACTTGTCTTTTTAGACGGGATACTCTCCTGATAATTGCTGAACTGATCCTACTGGTCTCACTTAGCAACTAACATTAGTAGGATACAAACTACAGGGTATCCAACACGCAGGACAAATTCTATTTGCCTCTGCAAAACCAGTCGTGACCCAACAGTATTGCCTGTAATTACCTTCCTATGAGTTTCCAAGACAGGTTACCCGAGTTGTTTCTTGGCCTTTGTTGCTGGCAGCCTTAACTTCATTCCTATGTAAATTTAGTCTTCCTTGTCTTAAAGGCAACAACCATGTCTTTCAGTTACTGTATCACTACCCAAGTCCTATCTCAGGGCCTTAAATTTGGGACAAATTTTTACCCAAAATTCCCTTATGGAAACGTGTCCTTAAATAGCTAGAGAAGTACAGATGTATACACAAGAATATTCAACCAAAAATCATTTATGAGATAACCAAGAATTAGAAACTACCTAACAATAAGCAAAAGGTTTGCTCAACTGTGGCCTGCTGTGCCCTCATTAGTTTGGTGGTATTAGACCATATTAATTGAAGAAAGACAAACATAATCAATTTCTTGGTGATACAGGCAGGTTTGTAAAGGATACACAATGTGGGAAGTGTATCTGAAATTAAGATAAAGGCTCTGGTGTCGACTTTCAGGATGTGAATCTGGGCTCGACAGTGACCAATTTCTCAACACTTCTATTTCCTCATCAATAAAAGAAAAAGAGAAGGATAGGAACACTGTCTGCTACACAGGGCTGTACTGAAGATTAAGTAAGAAAATCCACATATAATACTGGTGTACGATAGGGGAATCTGGCTGGCTCGTTCGGAGGAGCATAAGGCTCTTGATTTCAGGGTCGTGAGTCTGAGCCCCATGTGGAGTGTAGAGATTTCTTAAATTACAAAAAAAAAAAAAAAAAAAAAAAATAGTGGGGTGCCTAGGTGGCTCAGGTAATAAATAAAGCGTCCGACTTCAGCTCAGGTCATGATCTCACAGTCCAGGAGTTTGAGCCCCACCTCGGGCTCTGTGCTGACAGCTCAGAGCCTGAAGCCTGCTTCACATTCTGTGTCTCCTCCTTTCTCTGTCCCTCCCCCACTCGAGCTCTGTCTCTATCTCAAAAATAAATAAATGTTAAAAAAAGAAGCAAAAAAAAAACTAGTGTACGATAATTACTTAACCTAAGTTTTAGCCATTATTATTGAAAATGGAGATTACTGTCCCTTATGCTGTTATAAGAAAAGTTAATGACCCTTTCCATATTTTCATAATAAAATCCATGCTTCTCAGGTGTGTTTTCTTACAAAGTTAACTAAAGTTTCACCGTCCAGCCTTAAGCCCACTATTCTTCCTAAATAACAACATAAGCACAACAGGTTCTCAGAAAGACACAGAGGAGATATCCCCCACTCCCAGAAGCTGCAGATAGAGACAGGACTCAACATCATAAAGCTGGCTCAGAAAATACAACCCAATTAGATGTCAAGAGGAGAACATTAACCAGAGGTGTGATCTTGTTCTGTGCAAATTGGTGGTTTATTAAATGTCCATAACTATAACCTTCTTATTCTACCTTCTGTTATTAATATCTGTCCTTGGAAATATTATTTGTAATATAGGTTTTTATAAGACAGAACAAAGACACTGGAAATTATCACTATTTTCTGTGGAAATAACCTTTAAAATAATCTAATTCTGAAAGTCTGTCTTTGAGGCTCTTGTAATTAACTTTTAAATGGTGTTTACATTCCTAAAAGTTGTGAATACTTCAGGTTTTTAAATAAAGAAGAAATCACTAACACTTCTCTCTTCTTCCTGCACATTCAAGAGTAAAACAAAACCCACACGTGGGTTGGACTTCTCCATCAAAATAAAAGCTAGAGAGTCTTTAATTCAGTTGTATCACCAATTACTGTTATCTTATTCAGCAGAAACAAAACCAGACACATAGGCTCACAGGAAAAAATATTTTTAAACAGAAATGCACCAAAATATTAAGAATGATTAACTCTAGGGGTGCCTGGGTGGCTCAGTCAGTTAAGCGTCCGACATCAGCTAGGGCATGATCTTACGGTTTGTGAGTTTGAGCCCCGCATCGGGCTCTGTGCTGAGAGCTCAGAGCCTGGAGCCTGCTTCGGATTCTGTGTCTCCCTCTCTCTCTCTGTCCTTTCCTTGATTACGCTCTGTCTCTCTCTCAAAAATAAATAAAACGTTAAAAAAATTTTTTTAAAGAATGATTACCTCTAGAGGATGTAATTCTAATTTCCTTCTCTATGTTCCCTGGACTGTTGAATTTTTTGCAACAAACCTGCATTAATTCCATAACCAGAAATATAAAGATATTTCCAAATGTAAAAAACTGAATGATAGGGAAGGGCCATATTTCAGTCATTAAGAAAACTGAAAAAAACAGAGCCAACCCTGAAGATCAGTGGGCCAGAAACAAAGTACATTGACCAGCTGTTGAACATGCTGGAGCTGGAGCTGACCCCTACACTGAGACACTTTCACTATCAAGATTCCCCTGAAACCAACACACCAATGACGTTAAGTCACCTTCAAAGTCTTGAGGAAGGAAACATATGCACATAAATAGAATAATATTTGGTACAGAACAGATGCTCAACAAGTGTGGCTACACCCCTCTACCTGTTCACTGCGGTCAATTAAAACATTTTGGAGACAATCCTTGAAAAATGTCTTTCAGGGGCGCCTGGGTGGCTCAGTTGGTTAAGCATCCGACTTCAGCTCAGGTCATGATCTCACGGTTGGTGAGTTCGAGCCCCTGTTGGGCTCTGTGCTGACAGCTCGGAGCCTGCAGTCTGCTTCGGAATCACGGTCTCCCTCTCTCTCTGCCCCTCCCCCACTCGTGCTCTGTGTCTCAAAAATAAAATAAACATTAAAAAAAATGTTTGAGGGGCGCCTGGGTGGCGCAGTCGGTTGAGTGTCCGACTTCAGCCAGGTCACAATCTCGCGGTCCGTGGGTTCGAGCCCCGCGTCGGGCTCTGGGCTGATGGTTCAGAGCCTGGAGCCTGTTTCCGATTCTGTGTCTCCCTCTCTCTCTGCCCCTCCCCCGTTCACGCTCTGTCTCTCTCTGTCCCAAAAATAAATAAACATTGAAAAAAAAAATTAAAAAAAAAATGTTTGAGAATAATGTCTCCCATAACTCTCACTGAATGGGATTCATACAGAACTCACAATATTCTTGAGGACTTTTGTTTATAACTATTACTTAATATTTTATTACTTACATTTTCCTTCTGATTCTTTATAAACATAATTTTTATCAAGTACACATTATTCCATTACAGGAGACAACTGCAATTTACTTAACTGTTTCCATATCACTGGACACTAATCTTGTAAAATCTCCTTCCCAGCTATTAAATCCTAATCCCGGACCAGTGGAGCTGGATCTTTTTTGGGTCATGTACATTCGACAATCTCATGAAATTATAGACATTTTTGCCCACTAAAAAAATACATTTACAAATATTTATAAAAATTCGGTCTCAAATCCAAGAGATTTGTGATCATCTGGCAATTATAAATGGGACAAAACCTCAGGTTAAGATTTCCTCTACTAGATTACTTTTTCCAACTTGAGTAGCTGGCTATTAATTGAGAGTAAGGTCAATAAGGGGCGACTAAGAAGAGGGATGCATGAGCAGGGTAGGTCATTCATCAGGAGGAAAACCCAGGATAGTCACTACTAGTGATATTTCAGGCCAAGAAAGCAAATATTCTCATGATCTAAAAACGAAAGGAACTGTGTGAATAATAAAGAAACACAAACTCACCCTGATCCTTGACTTCAAAATATGCAACAATTCTTCCCTCCTCCTCAGGATCCTTCTTAGAAACCCGGCAGCAGTGGGAGTGGTGGGGGTGGGGGTGGGGGTGGGGGTGCGGGAGGGGGACACCGAAAGACTCATGAGACACCAGCATTTCTTGGAGCACAGACCCAACTAAAACAAAAAAGGAAAACCGAAACACCGCCTAGAGCCGTATTCACCTTCAGCCACACAAAACCCAACGGAATTGAAAGGAAGGAAGGTTGACAGCAGCTGCTGGGCACGAAGGTCTGGCTGCTCTGAAACACGTAGCTGGCTCCCAAGGAGCTCCGAGACGCGCGCCCCTTCTACGAACCTTACCTCTGGGGCCTCCCCCATCACGTCTTCCTAGAAGCATGTCACGAGGACACTTCCGGATGTACGAGTCTCATCCCAAGACTAGCCCTCTGCCTTCTTGGCGTGAAACGTTCCCTCTAGGGCTTAGGGTAGGACCCCTTTTCTTGCGGGCATTTAACTTTGGCCGGCCCAAAGAAAGTCTAGAGGGAACCCAGAGCACACAGCCAAAGCAAAACCACAAGGCCACGCACCCCATCACCCGGGCACACATTCCCAATCGCATGCACCATCACGGAGGCACACCCCGGCCCTGTCACGCACCATCCTGCTCAGCCGCTAGCGCACACACAGGCTGGAGGCTCCGAACGCGACACACCCAGTCCGCTAACCGGGCCCCCTCACCTCGGGCGCTTCCCGAAGTCACCCCCACACTGGCTGCGGGTTCTGACCCCGCGCTGACTACTTCCGTCGACGCGGGCAACTCACTGCGCGGAGCCCGAGAACCTTCAGGACACCGGAAACGGACCCACAGGCTTATGGGAAATAAGAGACGGCAAGTCCTCGGAGGGCGAGAACCGGGCCGTCCAAAGAGCTCTCCGCGGGCAACCTCACCCCGCCCGGAAGAAGACCTGTGCCCGGAGACTTTTGGGAAATGTAGTCCACGGCGGGCAAATCCTCAGAAGCTGGGACCCAGGACCCTTAGAATGCTCCCAGCATGCAACTCGGCTACGCCTAGCAAAGGCGCTTTTTCCAAAGTCAACCCGAACTTCTAGTTTGTGCTGCAGCGAGTAGGTCCCGGCTAGGCGAACAGCACATCTCAATAATCTTCGATGTGACTGAGAGAGAATTAAATGGTTTTCAAGGAAGGCTGAGGAATGCATTCTGAGAGTGTTAGAGATTGGAAGGGGAGCGTTGGCGGAGAGGGGGGTGGGGGGATATGACCAAGGACTTACGCTTCAATGGGCGGCAACATCGCAAGTAAGGTCCATGGGAATAACCCTGAGCGAGGCCACGGGCTTACCTGGTTTACGAGGGACTCGAGTAGGGTCTGGCGGGTTGAACAGATGGATACGTGTGGCTCTGAGTTTGTGGGTCCAATTCGGTGACTAGGACCTCGTGTGGAGTTGTTTATATTCATGGGATAGTTTCTGCTGGTGTGAATCCTTGTTTCCTTACGTGTAAGGTGGTTTCTGTTAGAGATTATATATTTTTTCAAGAGAAAAGCAACAATACGTGGTCGTGAATTGATAGATACCGTGATCATGTGCAAAGGTCCCTGTAGGGCTGAGAGATGAGATCTGGGACATTGTGTGTTAATGTCAGTAACCGAGGACAATTTAGTATTTGTGAGGTTTTTTTAATAGGCTTTTCTTTTGCATACTATGGTGATTATGAAAGTGGATCACTGTCCAGCTGAGATCGAAAAACAGTGCATTGTTGTGTGGCCTAGTATGTGTTAGTTTGATGATCTGACTGCCAATGGCTATATGTACCTGGAAAATTGTAACTGTTAGGATAGTGAGTTTCATTATTTCCACAGTTTCATTATCTCTAAGAGTGGTACAATTACATCTTCTTGGAGCATCAAATTTAAGATGCAGAAAAATATTTACAATTTATCCGCCAAATAATTTAGATATTTTATAATGAATCAATGATGCTTTATGGGAAAGAATGCAAATTGGCATAACGTTTTAAAAGCAAGAAGAAATCAAAGTAATATCCAGTCATAGAGTGGCTGCTGTAGGTTTCCATTCTTCTGTGATGTTAAGGGTACTTAACCAGATAACTTTGAAAGCCCTAGACTAAGGAAATGATTTCCTGCTTGTGAACGCAGGTAGATTAGAACAGAGCCCAGAATTAGGGAATCAGATGTACTAGTTTATAGGTCATGCAAGGCAAGGAACCTGTTTGAGACTACATAATTAGTCCATCAGAACACTACTTGTCTTATTTCAAAAAGTGGTAATTACATTTTGTTATATCCTGAGTATACAAAAACCACTTCCTAAACAGTGCCTGATTCCTCTGTTGCAGTTGGCAATTTTGAACCTAAAATATTTGTATTTCTTTGACATTTCTGACACTTTTCCTTCAGATATCAAATAGTAGATAGAAACAAAGATAAAGAGCTAATGGTTATGCTGTTAGGGAAGAAGATAAAATTCCTTTTCATTTTTTTTTAAACGTTTTTTATTTATTTTTGGGACAGAGAGAGACAGAGCATGAATGGGGGAGGGGCAGAGAGAGAGGGAGACACAGAATCGGAAGCAGGCTCCAGGCTCCGAGCCATCAGCCCAGAGCCCGAAGCGGGGCTCGAACTCCCGGACCGCGAGATCGTGACCTGGCTGAAGTCCGACGCTTAACCGACTGCGCCACCCAGGCGCCCCTAAAATTCCTTTTCTAACACAATTTCAGAAGAAACTCCTCAATGTTCCTGGGGAGAAAAATGCTTGTTTGACCTTTTTTGTTGTTGTTGTTTCTCTTCCAAAAGTCCGTCTTTTGCTTCCCCCTAAGTGCCTTAATCACAGCCACAAATTCTTAAAATGCTTTCCCTGTCATCAAACACAGTAGCATTGCTCTCATTAATATTGCAGTAACAAATCTAGAAATGAAACACACCCATCAAAAGTAGGGTGAACAATTAGGTCTGGAGTGCCTTTACATGGGAATAGTACATAGCAGTGAAAGTTACTGCATCTATCATAGCATGAGCATTGAGCCATAGAAATATACCTGCAGGATGTTTCATTCATAAAATTTTAAAGAGGAAGAAAAACAATGATATTTTGTGCTTAAGCGGAAAATAATGGAAAACAAGGGCATGGTGAATAAAATTCAGGAATGTGGTAAGTTCAGAGAGGAGGAAAGATGAAAAAGAAAAGTTTTTAAAGGGATTCAAAGCTATTTCATGGCCCCATGGGCTGCTCTGAAAAGCCATCTTTGCATTGTTCGGGTAACCCGCTCTCCCACCTCGGGCGCATGCCTGCTCCCTGATGGTCCTCCAACTCTCGCTTGCTTTTGAATCTGCTGCATGGGGCCACTGGCATGCCCCATCATTTCAGGCACGGCCGTGGACCTCAGCTCCGATATCACCACCAAGGACTCACAGAAGAAGAAGGAAGTTGTGGAGGAGGTGGAGAAGGGAAGAGCTGCACCCGCTGATGGGAACACTAATGAGGAAAATCAGGAGCAGGAGGCCGACAATGAGGTAGATGAGGAAGACAAAGAAGGGGAGGAGGGAAAGGAGGTGGAGGGCCGAGGTGAGGGAAGAGGATGGAGAGGAAGATGATGAGGCCGAGGCAGCTACAGACACACGGGCAGCGGAAGATGGTGAGGATGCTGATGTGGACACCAAGAAGCGGAAGATCGATGATGATGACTAGACAGTGAAAAAGGGAAAGTTAAACTTGATAAACAACGACAAAAAATGCCACCAGGACCTCTTCATCCCCCACGTCCAGTCTGAAAATGTAAAGAGGGTCATCTTTGAGTGGAGAGTCCCATCGTGGGGAGCACCACCCACAGATGACCTCTTGCTCTGCCAGCCCCCCAGAACCACAGTGGGAATCTACAACAAGGGAGGAGAAAAGAATAAAAACTTACCAGCGCCTGAGAGGCTCAGTGGGTCAAGCCTCCCGCTCTTGATTTGGGTTCAGGTCATGATCTTACAGTTGGTGAGATGCTTCCCTGCGCCTGCTTGGTAGTCCCTCTCTCTCTCTCTCTCTCTCTCTCTCTGCCCCTCCCCCATGCAGCCTCTCTGTCTCTCTCTCAAAATAAATAAACTTTAAAAATTTTAATGAAAAAGGGCCAAGATAAAATTTCTTTTTCCCCCTTTTTTGTCTATGAAGTTGCTGTTTATTTATTGTTTGTCCTGTTTGAAGTGTGTGTGAATCAGTGTTTTCCAACAATAAACTGGAATTTTATTTTGCTGAGTTGTTCTTACAAGAAAACAAAGCACAATTATTTTATGTATTGTATTTCTTAAACTGGATTATATTACATAATTGTATACTGTTACTTTGATATATTCCTCATTAGTTGTAAATATTTGTTTATTCGTGATGAAATCTTAAAACTTTTTTGGTATAGGAATTGAATGCAACTGTGTGTGTTGGGAGGGGGATATGTACACCCGATTTTTAACATGTTCTACCCAAGGGGACTGTGGGAACTTATGAAGGTATGTACAGAGGAGAAACTAATAGATAACCTGTGTAAAAAGAAATTGCAGTTAAAAGTGTAAAAGGCATACCTACACCACTGTTATTTACATATGTGTGTTAAAAGATAGTTAAAAAATAATAATTATTATCACAAGCTAGTAGGCTTTCAGGTGTTTTTCACCTTATATTTTATGGCCTTCATTTGTTGACTTAAAATCTATTTTGTCTGGGGCGCCTGGGTGGCTCAGTTGGTTGAACATCTGACTTTGGCTCAGGTCATGATCTCACGGTTTGTGAGTTCGAGCCCCGCGTTGGGCTCTGTGCTGACAGCTCAGAGCCTGGAGCCTGCTTCAGATTCTGTGTTTCCCTCTCTCTCTGTTCCTCCCCTGCTTGCAGTCCGTCTCTCTCTCTCTCTCTCTCTCTCTCTCTCTCTCTCTCAAGAATAAATAAAGTTAAAAACAACTTTAAAAATCTATTTTGTCTGATACAATTATGGCCACCCCTGCTTTCTTTTGGTTACCATTTGCATGGAAGGTCTGTTTCCATACTTCACTTTCAGCCTATGTGTGTCCTTAAATCTAAAATTACTCTCTTGTAGACAACATATAGTTGGATTATGTTTATACGTTCAGCCACACTGTGTCTTTTGAATGGGGAATTTAATCCATGTATATCTAAAATAATTGTTGATAAAGACTATTATCATTTTGTTAGTCATTTTCTGTTTGTCTTATGGCTTTTTAAAAACATTTTTATTTATTTTTTGAGAGAGAGACAGAGCGCGAGCAGAGGAAGGGTAGAGAGAGACGGAGGCACAGAATCCCAAGCAGGCTCCAGGCTCTGAGCTGTTAGCACAGAGCCCGGCATGGGGCTCGAACCCATCAACCATGAGATCATGACCTGAGCCAAAGTCAGGTGCCCAATTGACTGAGTCACCTAGGCACCCCTGTCTTACGGCTTTTTTTCTCCCTCTTTTCCTCTTTTGCTCTCTTCCTTTGTGCTTCCTTGATTTTTTTGTAGTGTCATGATTTGGTTCCTTTCAAATTGTCTTTTGGGTATAGTCTATAAGTATTTCCTTTGTGGTTACTATGAGGTTTACATAAAACAGCTTGTAATTATAACTATCTGGGGGTGCCTGGGTAGCTCAGTTGGTTAAGTATCTGACTTCAGCCCAGGTCAAGATCCTGCACTTCGTGGGTTCGAGCCCCGCTTCGGCCTCGGTGCTGACAGCTTGGAGCCTGGAGCCTGCTTCAGATTCTGTGTCTCCCTCTCGCTCTGCCTCTCCCCCGCTTGTGCTCTGTCTCTCTGTCTCCCCAAAATAAATAAACACTTTAAAAATTTTTTAAATAGCTATCTGTATTAAACTAACAACTGCCTAATTTCACTTGCAAAGAAATACTCAACACTTTCACCTTTCTCCCCTCACCTTGTTATTGATGTCATACATTG